TAAGTGAAACCAAACGGGTCTCACATTTTAAATAGTTTAGACGAGTGAATACGATACTACAGGTAAAACACTTATCCCGAAGGATAAATATCACTTGTAATAGGGGTTCAGTAATATAGACTAAAGAATTTATGACATCCGTTCGGTCTGCGAAATTGTCTTATTTGCCGACAAGTTCCCTTACCTAATACGAGGACCGACAACAAGTTCTCCTACCTAACATAAAAAATTAGATAGGGTTTATTTTATCTTGGGTTCCAGGTTCCCTATAGAGGCAAGCCCCTATAGTTAATTACATTTTAAATGATCGAAATCACTTAAGAAAACTCTCGATTAAGATCATGTGGTTTTGCTTTCAAGATTTCAAAGTTTTCACGATTGGACATGGAAAAATCAAATGGGAATGACTCAAAATAGGAACAATTATTTAAGGAATCCAAAGAGAAGAAAAGTAGGGGATATCACAGATCTAGGGAAAACCCCGGTGAACTCCCAACTATCCTAATGTTCGGTATTCGATTTTATGTCTTTGAAGTGATGGTTATTTGATATTTCAATCCTGTAAATTATTTAAGATTTAAAACTTATGTTTGCACAACGTCAGACTGTGCAATTAGCCTAAAAGACAGGAAGATTTACACCGTACCGTACGGTAACCTCGGAATCCTAAAACGTTAGGATTTATAATTACACAACAGAGTTGTGCAAAAAGCCTAAAGAAATACCTATGGGTTATTATTTAAACTAAGAAAAGTGTATAGTGTTGTGAATTTGTTTTGACATTGCTCTTCTGAGTGTCCTTGTCGTGCTGCCACGGTGTTCGCTGCCTGGAAATTGCTCCTTGTCGCGCTGCCCACGATATTCGCTCCAAACTCCTCGTAGTAGCACCTCCTGGTTTAATTTAAGTTTTGAACATGCTCCTAACCACTAGGTTATCCTAAACTAAGGCATAGTGTATCAAAGTAACTAAGCATGCAGTGTACTGTACATCTGAGAGGTTCATTGCTTCTTTAAATTTAGCTATTATATGTTGTGTAAAGAGAAAAGTAAAACCTGAAAAAGACTTAATAGAAACAGATAAATCACAGGGAAAAGATAAACAAATAAGATAAAATATCATACCACATATAAAGAACTAAGAATAAAAAATTTATATGTGATATTGGAATGTCCTCAATTGCGCGGAGGATTTGAATGTAGGACAAACTCAAATCCCGGAACATTGGGTTTCAGTTTTGGTCAAGTTAAGGTAAGAATTTCGTTATTTGATTTAATTAAATCAGTCATGAGTCACAATCTAGTGTCACCTCGTGCCTAGTGTCCCACCTATCTTCTAATCTGAGGTTAGACGTTTGGATTTCTTAGGCTCATTTGAAAATTAGCATGATAAACTATCTCTCAAGGTTGTGCTTCTGAAATCTAGGAGGTCTGCACTTTGGGTTAAACTTGAAGTGTCCTAAGGTATCTAATCTCAATTAAGTGTCTTTCCACTAATCCTCACACGTCTATAGATCCAGCTTAGCTTGCTATCAAACTCCTAAAACCTAGGGGGTCAACTCATAGTTTTGCCAAAAAGAGTTGTGAGTTGTGCTTCAATCCTAGTTAAAGGAATTGGATTTTAAATTGATTCAAAGCTTAAGGATCTAAGAGTAAGTCCATTAATCTCTCAATCGTTATCTAAATTCACATTTATTCCTATTTCAACTAGTCTTCCAATTTGCAATTTATATGTAAAATAAAAGGTGCATTATGCGCTATCCTACCTCCTCTTTAGATTGTACCATCCCAAAAATTCAAATTTCAATTTCAATTTTCTCTCATATGCTCTTTCTCCCCTATTTCCCTTGAGATTATAAATCATTTCTGAATTTAATTAAATCGGAAATTCCCATTTTTAACTTGACCGTTAAAAAATAATAATAACAAAATAAAGTAAAATAAACGAAAATGAGAGCGATTCATTTTTAAAACCAAATTAAATCAATAAAACTCATGAATGTTTCGGTCTAAAATATTTAAATTTGTTAAAAAGAAAATGTTCGGATCAATCCCGAACAAGATATCCTTTTCAAGTGGCGTTTTTATGGATTTCTAAACCCAACATGACTTCAATTTATATCAAACTCGAAATGAATCT